CAGTGAGCTCGCTGCAGGCTCTTCACTTCATGGTTTTTTAAGCTTAGATTCGTCTAAAATATTTTTTAAAGCAATGTAAGTCATTATGATAAATGGAAAATGTTGTCATGCGTAGAAAATTACTAACAAGGTGTTAAGTTTTCGGATGTCGGTCCTTGAACCCCCCAGAATCAGCTGTGTGTTTCTGTGGGAAATGGGCTCAGCCTGCCCTTTGTTTTACAGGTGCCAAGGGGCAGGGCCCCTGAAGGGCTTACCCAGGGCCACATACTTTCCTTGCTGGCTGGGAAACCAGGTCTGGTCCCTGGGACGGTGCTCACCCTGCATTCCTGCTGGCTGGTGGAGTGGAGGCTGGATGGCTGTGGCGCGGTTTACTTTTCACCTATCACTGAGCTGAAAATAGCCCAGGGAGTGAGTTAACCATTTGTGCCCCCCAGGGGGAAGGTGGCTTGTGTGGTAGGAGAGTCCCTCAAGGTCACACTTGCAAGACAGGGACTAGGGTGGCCTTGCTTCGGTGACTTCTGGCTGAAGGTGCTCGTTCTGGACCAAAGGCTGGAGTAGCTACTGCTTGGAACCATGATTGGGCCAGGAGGAAATGCCTGAGCTCCTTGGCTGGAAGTCCTGAGGGTTTATGCTCTCAGGAGCTGAGATGTTTAAGGAAGGACAGGGAGGCAGGCTGCCTAGTGGTTCGGGAGCCTGGAGTCTATAGCAGGGCTGGCGAACCTGCGGCACAAGTGCTGCGGCTGGCTGTTTGTTCTTGTTAAAAGCTCTAACACGTGGGCCGGGGATTTAGCTCAGTTGTTCGGTGGCCTGCCTTGCAAGCGCAAGGACCGGACCGGAGTTCAATCCCCAGTACTGGGGAAAAAAAAAAAAAAAGCTCTAACACATTCGCCATCCCTGCTCTATGGGGTCAGAGAGGCCCAGGTTCCAATACTGCATCTGCCCCTTCTGAGATGCTGGACGGCTTTGGCAAGGTCACTCGGTCTCTCTCAGTCATTTTTTTCTTTTCTTAAATGGGTGTACTAGAGAAACGTCATTTCTTAACAGTACTAGGATATCGTGTAAGATGTAATATAAATTATAGCATCACTATATGTTTAATGTTCAGCTCATATCTAACATTTGGGAGGGCTGGAGATTGAGCTCAGTGGTGCCTCTGCCTGCCTTGCAAGTGCAAGGTCCTGAGTTCGATCCCCGGTACGAAAAAAAAACCCCAATAACATTTGTGAGTCTAACATCTTTAGAGCTATGCCTTTTAAATATTCCATGCTGCTCCCCTCACAGTGGAAATTTCCAAGATATAGATGAGGGAAGCAAGTATGAACTAAGAAAAAGTACAAATGTGAAAGCCTTAGTCATGTTTTAAAAGGATACTTGTCAATTTAATCAAAATCCGAAACAAAGAATCAGTGTAACTCCTCTAAGTATGACTTTGGGGGAAATGACACCAAGAAACCTATGATATGACTGGGAATTATCAGGAAGGCCAGGAGCTCAGTAACACGTTTCAGCTCCTTCTCTCCCTTCTTTTTTCCTTTTATGGTACTGAGAATTGAGCCCCAGGCCTTGTGCAGGCTGGAAGAGCAGGTCCCCAGCCCTCTTAAAATTTTTTATTGTATTTTGAGACAGGGTCTTTAAATTGTCCGGCTGGCCTCAAATGTGTGACTGTCCTGCCACAGCCTCTGGGTTGGCTGGAATTGCAAGTGGGAGCCACTGTGCCCAGCTCACATTTGACAACCTTAGGAGGGCAGAGAAGTGGAAGCCAGGAGGCTCCTTCAGAAGGAAGTAGGATAATGTGCCTGGTGTGTGTGTGTCCTACCGGTCTGGGCGTGCAATTTTATGCACTGTTGCCCCACTGTTCAGGACCCCACCGAAAAGCGTATGCCTTTACCCCTTCCCTTTTTGTCCTGGAGTCTTCGTCACTGTCTTCTGGGAAAGTTTGGGCCTGTTTGTTTGTTTTTATTTTCAGTACTGGAGGTTGAACCCAAGGCCTCTGTGTGAACTACATCCTCAGCCATTTGTTTGTTTTTGCAGTACTGGGCATTGGCCCCATGGGCTCTGCACTGAGCTAGCTGTGTCTCCAGCCCCTTTTTTATTTTATTTTTTATTTAGAGACAAGGTCTGAGTAAGTCACTGAAGTTGCCGGGGCTGAGATCCAACTCTCAGTCCTCCTGCCTCAGCCTCCCAGAGTGCTGGGATTACCGGTGTGAGCCACCAAGCTTGGCGTGGGTCCAGTGATCTCGACAGCCCTTCTACCAGCCGCAAACTCAGTTCACTGTGCTGCTGAAAGGGCCTCCTCGGCTAGAAGAGGGTTCTCACCTGTTAATCCAGCTGCTCTGCCAGCCGAGACCTTCGAGGCAGCGTCTGCATCTTGAGTGGCCAGCTGCTCAGGCTCGTCTGAGGCACATGGGAGAGGAGATTGCAGGCAGGCAGGCAGAGCGCTCTCGGGCGGTTCTGCATCAGTGCCTTGTTCCCGAGCAGGTGCCCCTACTCTGACCCTTGGCTGTGTGAGCTGGGGTGTTGTAAACAAGCACTTGTCCACACTTTCATCCTTTCCAGCCTAGACAGAGAGAGCAAACTGTCCTTCAAGGCCCGTGTAATATGCATTGTGTGCAGGCTCTGTTCCTGTAGGATCCCAGTGTGGCTCCTAGCTCTGCTGCCATCCGGCAGAGGCAGCCACATACTGCATGTGAACAGGTGCAGTGTGATGTCTCCGTCACTTGCCTCGTGGCTGGGACACCATACACAGTGCCCTGCACCCCGAAGGGAAGAGGTTTATTTTGGCCCATGTTTTAGTCCAAGGCAGGAAGGTGTGGAGGAAGGGTCTGGGTGGAGAGCTGCTCACATCAGGGTGGGCAGGAAGCAGAGAGAGTGGAACCTGGGGGAGAGACACCCGTCAGGTGACACCCCCATGACCGTCCTTTCAGCTGTAGCACCCCATGATTCAGTCACCTTTCAAAAGCCCTGCCTGTGAGCACACGAGACTTTGGGGGGTCATCTAGATCAGCGCCATAACATGGTCTTTTTTCCAGCACTAGAGGAGGTTAACCCCAGGGCCTTTGCACAAATGTGTGTCCCCGGCCTTTGTTTTGTTTGTTTTTTTATTTTTGAGACAGGTTCTTGCTAAGTTACCAAGTTGTCCAGTGTGGGCCAAACTTGCAAACCTACTGCCTCAGCCTCACAATATGCTAAGTATAGGTGTGCACTGCTGTCCATGCCTTAACAAAACTTACTAAAATCAGGTGATGCAGCAGTCTTGTTGGCTGAGCAGTGCCCCCTAACAGGCGTCCCCACCTTTGTCCCTTACAGTCTCTTCTTCATGTAGCAGTCAGGGAGCTCTTTTAAATACACCAATACAAGCGCTTCTCCAGAAACAGCCTGTTTCTTGCCGATGTGGCCTGTAGTGTCCTCCCGTCATCTGTCCTCTAAACCACGAGCCCCTTAGCGTAGTCCTACGTGAGCTGCCCGTCGGAACACATCAGCCTCCTCCCACATTGGCAGCGTCCTCTCCGTTCATGCGTACTCCAGCCTCAGCCTTCATATGAGCTGTCCCCTCTGCCCAGGCCCTTCTTCCTCTCCTTCTGTGGCCAGTTCTTGGTCACTGTTAGGTCTCACAGGGACATTGCCTCCTCCCAATGGCCTCCCAGGTTCACCCTTTCCAGCAGCTCCACCGAGCCCTCTGTGTTTCTGCTCATCATCACTGGAACGATGAGCCGTGGGTCACTGTGTGGATCCGCGACCCTGCACCCTTGCTCCCACATCCTGGCTGCCAGCCTGTGGCTTCCTCCTGCATGCGGTGCTGAGCGTTTGTCGGAGGAGTTGCTCATTTGTGGTGAGGTATTGCTGGCGTTCAGAGTGCTCTTTATTCAAGGGCTCGCCATCCTTTGGGAAGCTGTATAAACAGCATCACAGCCAGGGATCTTGGGTCCCCAGAAGAGGGCTGTCTGGTATCTCAGAACTAGGAGCAGCTTGAAGGAGGCCCGGCACCTGGAGCCCAGCAGCGATTGTCTGCAGTGGCTCACTTGGTGAAGGTTAGGTTTCTCTGTCTGGTACCAGCCAGCCTCACGCTTCTGGGCACTTGGGGACCAGCTCAGCACAGTCGGCAGGGACTGCTGTGTGGGAAGCTGTGCCCGCTGCTGCCCCCACCCACCCTGCGTGGCGAGCAAGCAGAGGGGCCGTACCGAGAGCGGTCACTGTGAATGTTCCCTGCCGTGAGGGAGTTGGCTTTTTACGGAGATCACATTTAATTTCCTTATGAGAACAGTGCACACGGGTGAGTTCTGCTTCCCATTTGTTTCTGTAGAAAAATTTTATTTTATTTTATTTCATTTATTTATTTTTTGGTACCAGGGATTGAACTGGGGTCCTTGTGATTGCAGGGCAGGCCGCCGAGCCACTGAGCTAAATCCCCGGCCCTTGAAGAAGAATTTTAGTAGCTGTGTTCTGTTCTTCCCTGATGGCAGTGGCAGTGAGGAAGCCCACTGAGGTTGTCTCCCTGTGTCTGATGCAGGATGTGTCCTGTCGTGTGTCATGTCCTGCTTCGTCTTGGAGACATCATTAGGGTGATAGATCTGAAGAGTTGTCACTTGTGAGCAAACAAGGGGACAGGACTGTGGGGAGTTGAACCCAGGGCCTTTGCACTGAGCTACGCCCGAGCCCCTCCCTTTTAGTTGTTGGTTGTTGTTGTTTATTTTGAGACAAGATCTTACCACGTCTCTACGTTGGCCAGAACTTGGTGATCCTCCTGCCGCGCCTTCCCAGTGCCAGCATGCCAGGCTCCTTTTCTGATGCTCTTGGGAAATGTGTTGCCCAAGAGAAGGAATCCTGTCCTGAAATCTTTCCCACAGAATTCCATATTGTGTGTCCCCCCCCTTAAAATACCTATTCTGTTTAGTGGCTACTTAAAAATACTGTGCTTACAGGAGACACATTTTGGGAAGTACCTAAACACACCTTATTAAGACCGTAAGGAAACTTAATTAGTGATAGCGCCTTGAATTAGCCCGGGGAGGGGAGAGATGTGGTGTCGGCTCCAAGTAAGAGACTGTGTTCTTGCTCCTGTGAATACAGCCGTGCGTTGTACTGAGTATTTACATCTGATTCTCTCTGTAGATTGCTGCTAAAATTGATTCCATTCCTCACTTGAATAATTCCACACCTCTAGTGGACCCCTCAGTATACGGATACGGAGTACAGAAGCGGCCCCTGGATGACGGAGGTAAGTTGCTGCAGATGCCCTGCCTGCGTGCAGTGGGCCTGCCAGGTTAGCTGCCGTCTGCACAGCCACTCCCTCCGCAGCTTCTCCCGGCACCGGTGGAGGAAGGGTGGGGGAAGGGTTCGGGGTGATTTTTCTCCACAATGCAGGAATCTTTTCAGCTGCACTCTGAGGCAGGGGCTTGGCCTCCTCCAGCATCTGTTTGGAAGCCACATTGCCCCACTTGAGAATACCGTTTGATTTCACCTTCTCCGAGTGCACACGTGGGAACTGAAGGTCCCACTTTTCCCTGGAGGAAAGCTAAGATTTGGTGCATGGCTCTGCGGAGGTGGTGGCTGCCTCTTGACCTCAAAAAAAGGGAAGAGAGGCAGTGACCTCTACAGTCTTGTGGTTGTCACCATGCCTGTTTGTGATAGGCGCCCTCATTCATTCACACATTCATTCACTGTTTTACCGGTTTGCTGTATTCCTTGCTCCATCCCAGCAGGAACTCGAGGCCGTGCCGAGGTGCATGTCGGCAGTGCTCCGGCAGAGTTTGCTGGTGTGTTTCTGTGCCGCAGTCGGCTCTCCAGGGCTAGGGCTGCCTAGGCTGCACTTGAGTCTCCTCTGCTGCTCCTCTGGGTTCTGCACATGCGCCCAGTCACATGTGTACTTAGCTCTGCGACATGGAGAGAGAGACCATGGCTCAGAATACCACACACGTGTGACCTCCTTTTCCAGGGCAGGCGTGTGCTGTTGTGCACGTCAGAGAATTAACTTAGTGTGACCGGGTTCTCTGGTCTCCAGGGATTCTGAAAGAGGCGATGGCATTGATGTTAGATGTGGGAACTTTTTCGAGACGGTTGTCTGTAGACTCACAGGGTGAAGTGCTTTAAGCAGTCGGCACTCACTTGAATGTGAAAGTTCTTGTCTAAAACTCTGGGATCGCACATGCAGACAGTGACTCTGCACTGGTGCCCTGTGCTCTTCCTGCCTGCCTGCCTGGTGGTGGTTTCTGCATTCTCTCCCGGTGATGAGCTGCCGTGCACGGTCACCTTCGCACCCTGCGCAGGGAGGGCAGCTGTGCTTTGCTTCCTCCTGCAGGATGTCAGCGTGAAGGTAAAACTAGGCAGTCCGCTCCCGTGCACAGATCTCCCTTAGTGGACAGTGTCTCTCCGGCCTGTTGTTTCCAGAAATCAAGATCAATATGTTTCGCAACACATTTGGCCTGCCTTCCCCGACAGCGCAGCCTTGTCCCCCAGCACCTGCACCAGGTCCTTGTGTAGGGAACCCCTGACACTCACAGACGGAGCCCTCAGCTCGGGGCAGACGTACATCCCCGCTCAGTGCTTTGCACGCCCACTTGAAAGAAGCAGCAGAAGGTCCTGCATTTATCGAGGAGGAGAAGAGAGCAGCAGGCAGGGAGCTGATGCTGCCGGGGCCACCAGGCGGCCACAGCCCCACCCGAGGACCCGTGCTTTTCAGCACGTACATCATGGCTTTAGTGTGAATTCCCACTGCTTCACGTCTGCCTGTGCAGAGTGCGTTCTCAGACAGGAAATGAGTGAGGCTGCTCTTCCCCTCGACAGTGAGCCTCCTCTTAGTGAGAAGGGCCGAGCAGGAGCCCAGCCGTGGCCTGCAGGCCTGCAGGCTCCTCTGGACGCCGGGCACACTCACTCTGGCCTTTTATCCTCTGCATAATAGTCTGATGAAATCATCCCTCTCATTTTGTTTTGTTTTTTGAGATGGAGTCTCCTTATAGATCAGGTTGGCCTGGCACTCACAGTGATCCTCCTGCCTCAGCCTCTCTGGAGAGCTGAGATGAAAAGTGCGTACTGCCACACCTAGCTGTTGTTCCTCTCCTGTCGAGCACTGTTAAATAAAGAGTTAGGCAGATTTGTTTTCTGCAAGTGGCTCCCATGTGTAGAGATTGGGCTCGCTGTCGTATCCAGTGGGAGCCCCAGTGTGGGGGCCGGGTGCAGCTTTGCTTTGTCAGTTGCCTCTGGAGGCAGTGAGGATGGTGAGGAAATGTGTGAGCAGTGGATTCTGCCGGGGGCCGGTGCTGGGCCTCCTGGCCACTTTGGGCCCCAGATTTTGGGGCGGCTTGTGTGAGCAAAGTCTGGAAACTCCCGGAGGCAGAGTGGGATGCCGAAATCCCAGCACTATGTTCATCGCACAGAGGTTGCCGAGGTTTTGCAGTGCTGTGCTTGTTTGGCTTGGCCGGGCATTTTCAGACAGAAGCTCACCAGACTGCCGCTTTAGCAATGTGAACTTTCTCACTCTCTGCGAAGCAGAGTCCTTTAACCTTTAGTTAAAGGCGAGGTTCAGTGCCCTGGAACTGTGGGTGTTAGGCCTACTTAGAAACTGGGCAATTCTGAATTTAACCTGAAGGGGTCTGAAAGTAGGGCTGACTCGGGGTGGTGAGGTTTGCAGACAGCACGTGCATTGGAGAAGCGAATGTGTGCGAGACAGTGCCACGTGCGGCCGGTTTGTCCCAGATGGGAAAAGGGGCCGGGGAGTGGGCATTTGGAGCCGCCGGCAAGAATCCACTTGGAACCCAGAGCCGGGCTTCCAGGCCTGCCGCTGCCCCCAGCCTGCGACCAGTCGCTGGTCCTGTTAGCATCTGCAGTCTTGACACCCACACTGGTAACAGTCTGAGGTGAGCCTGGGGCACCCACCACGCAGGGATCCTTTCCTGCCTGCGGCGCTTTCTTCAGGCTGCACCAGAGGCGGTCGGACCTGTTTGTGTCCTCTCCTCTGGCGGGGATGTCAGCTGCAGCCCCAGCCCCAGCCCCAGCCCCAGGGAGGTGCAGGTCTTCCCTCCATGGCCACCACCTCCCTGTCCTCCCAGTCTCTGTGCCCTCCACCTGCTGGCTGCCTCGGCTGGTGTGACTTCCTCCTGGAGACCTCACACTGCCTCCCGCCTCCTGCTCCTGACCCTGCACTGCCAAGCTGCGCCACCTGCCTCCGCCCTTTCTCCTTCCCTCCCTCCACTCCTCACTCGCCTCGCCAGGAATAAGTCTCAGAAGGGGCCCATTGGTCCCTTTCTGGTGGTCCCCAGCATCCCCTCCTTTGTTCTGCAGAGACCTGAGGCTCTTGTGCACCTCTTGTACCTGAGTCTCCACGATAGGAGTGATCTGTTCCCCCTAAGCCACAGGTGATGGCCGAAGTGACTCTCGCTCGGTTTCTCCCTCGGCATCTTCTGTCATTAGCATTTTCATACTGGGAGAAGCTCACTCCAAATGTAAAGGACAGGATTAGCTAAGAATTAGCTAACTTAAAATCCGGCTTTTTCCTGACAAACCAGCCAGGAAATAGTTTGGCTTGCAGACCCCTTCCAATACTCAGATGTGCTGCTAGAGCCCTGACACAGCCACTCAAAGAGGTAAACAAGCCACGCTGCGTTGAGTAGCATAGTGTGTGTGAAACAGGCAGCCGCCCTCCCTCGGGCAGTGTGCCAGCCTCCAGTCTACAGCAGTAGCCTCATCGAATGGTCATTCCGACACCTGCTCATCCTCCAGTGAGGGAAGTGAAGTGTCCTTTTTTTTTTCTTTTTTTTTTGGTACTAGGGATCGAACTCGGGTCCTTGCACTTGTGAGGCAGGCGGAGGCACCACTGAGCTAAATCCCTGGCTTCCAGTGAGGAAAGTGTATGCAGGTTCCCCAGTCACTGTCTTTAATTAAGCCAGGGTCCTGGCGGCATGGCAGGTCCTTCCGCCTTGCTTGCAGGCTTGGTCCCTGAGAAGCCCAGTGACCTTGTGTTTACTCCTTCAGCAGGCCTAGCGGAGAGTGCGGCCCCTCGGGTCCCTACCCTAGGAGCATCTCCGGGCCATGCCTCACCTCTGCCAGCCCTGTGATGGTGCCAGAGCTCAGCTTCTGGGTGACTTTGAGGAGCCCCCCCTTCCGCCTTCCCTGCCAGTGGCTGGTCTTTGATACCTGTGACACCGACTGGTGTGGCGCTGCACTGCCTTGGGCTCTTGTTTTTTGAAACAGTGTGGCTGTGCGGTTCTGGCTGGCCTAGGACTCACGGTGGAGTCGGATTGGCCTTGAACTCACTGTGATCCTTCTGCCTCGGGCTCCGAGTGCCGGGATTCCAGGCGTGCTCCACCACGCCCGGCTGCTTCATTTTATTTTGACAGTATTTCTGAGGTGAAGGAAGATTTCTTACTTAGGCTTACTATTAAATGCAGTATTTAGGAAGATTGAAAGAAAATATTGTTATCTGTCTTGGGTCTCGTGTAAAGTCCTGCAGCACTGAGCAAAGAGGAGGTGCAAAAACAGAATGAGGAAGAAATGTGTTCTGTTTCTTGGGGCTTTCTATGGGCTGTTTTGTTTTTCTGTTCCGTGGCCTGAGTCCAGGACCTGCACACTGAACTACACCCCTGGCCTTTTTTTTTTTTCCAAGACAGGGTTTCATTACGTAACCCACACTGGCCTTGAACTCAGGAGCCTCCTGCCTGGGTCTCAAGGCCTGGTACAGGTGTGTGCCACCATGTCCAGCAGAGATTTTTTTTTTTTTTTTTTTTTGGTACTGGGGATCAAACTCAGGACCTTGTGCTTACCAGGCAGGTGCAATGCCACTGAGCTACATCCCTGGCCCAAGAATTTAAATTCCAGAATAGAGATGATAGCCAGCCAGGCACACCTTTGATCACAACTACTTGGGCTGAGGCAGGAGGATCTCAAGTTTGAGGAAACCCTGGGAAGCTTAGTGAGATCTTGTCTCCGCATAAAATTTCAAAAATAGATGAGGGGAGGGGGTAGTGATGAGCGCCAGGACAGTTGCTGCTAAATGGCCTGGGCACCCAGGCCAGTGCCTGCCGCCACGCTGCCCCAGCCCACAGCCACCAGTGGCCCAGTTTTGGGAAGAGAAGTGTGAATCCTCGATGCCGGTGCTTTCATTCAGGGGTCGAGGGTGGACACAGGGATGCAGAGAGCGGGCTGGGCGAGGGGCATCGCGTCAGTTTCCTGAGGCTGCCCTGAGGACCTGTGTTGGTGTCCACTGCCCTGAGGTGACCACTGCAGGTGTCCACTGGCTTCCCACTCCTACCGGGCAGGAGTACGTGGCACCTCCAAGGGCAGGGTCCTCAGACAGGGCCCCAGGCTGATGCACAGTCTGGAAACGGCCCTGCCCGCCCCAGACTGAAACCCAGGAGCAGAGTGACATCGCCAGTGAGGCAGCATGGGAGGCAGACTACGTCCTGGGGAGCTGGAGCTGAGTGTGGACAGCACTCGGCCGGCTTGGCCGGCTGGTAGGGTGGGAGGCGTTTCCCTCAGGAGCCCGGCGTGTTGTGGCAGCTTAAGGCAGCCCTGGGTTCAAAGCTCTTAGGGTGCAGGTCAGCCAGTCTCCACCTGGCTGGGCGGGAGGATCACCCAAAGAGCCTCCCCAGAAAGCAGTTTGCAGTCTTACAAACAGCTGGCGCTCCCATGCAGCCCGCAGGTGCACTCCCAGGCATCTGTCCCCAGGAAGTGGAAACAACATCCACACAGAGCTTCTCCACGCATCCTCAGAGCAGCTGTATTCAAAATGACCCTTCTCAGAATGCGTGTCCTTTGGTCCCTGGAGAGTCAGGCCTAGCCACTGTGCCAGGGTAGATTACTCAGTAGGAAAAAGGGACTGATGGTGCCTGCGACGACCTGGCACAGCTCCAGGAAGTCTACCACACACAAAAGGCCAACGGACATTTTTGGGATGAACAGTAGTAGCTGCGTGGCTCTGTGCAAGATACTTAACTTCTCTGAGCCTTACCTGTAAAAGCTCATTGCACTTATGTCACTAGATCATCGATATTTAAAAATACCACTAGCAATCTGAGTAATCAGTTTTCCACCAGGACTAGTTGGTTTACACATTTTAAAGCATGTGTGACTTAAAAGCTTTATGAAGTACACACCTTTATTGTGTTGCATTCTGTTTTCTGTGTCTTGGTTTTTTTTTTGAGACAGGGTGTCCCTATGTAGTTGAGACTGACCTGGAACTCACTATGTAGCCCAGGCTGGTCTCTAACTCACAGCGATCCTCCTGCCTCAGCCTCCCCGAGTGCTGAGATTACAGGGTGTGCCACCACACCCGGCCTCTGTCATTTTTAAATCAAGCTCCTTGTGACTCCCTATGTTGGCTTCATCGGCTTACGTGGAAGCGAGGCTGGGTGCTGTGAGTAGAAGGTTGTGGAGTCTCTTTCCCTCTCTCTGCTCTGTGGCTCTCTGGGTGAGGCCTGTCCTGGGTGCCAGGTGAGGTTCGATCCAGCTCCCTGCCTCCCACCCCACAGCCTGCGACGTCCTTGTTTACGCTTCAGCCCCAGGCCTGGCCTGGGCCAGCACCTGAGAGAAGGCCTTGGCAGGGAGGCAGCGGTGGGTGTGAGCCCCAGGATGCGGGGCAGAGGGGCTTTGTCCCTGTCCTCCCTCCCCTGGGGCCCATGAGCTGTGCAGGGAGGCACCGGAAGAGCCCTCAGAAGAGCGTAGTCTGCCAGGAGTAACAGTGAGGAGATAAACTTGAATTGAATCTCGCCGTTGAAAAATAAGTAACTTGTGAAATTAGCGGCAGGTTACATGCCATCAGCCTTCTGCTGAACTTGGCGGGCAGCGCCAGCCGGACACAGGAAGCCTTGGCGTCTCCCAGCCTCAGAGGAGGGAGCATGGGGGAACTGCTCACCGCCACAGAGGAAGGTCTGGCGTGCTTTTGCTGCTCCCCACCTGAGCTGCCCACCAGCCGCGCTGACCCAAGCGGTGAAGGCAGCCTCCTCCCTCGGGAGGCGGGGCACGGTGGGGACGCATGCTGGCTGCCTGTCTCGGTAGCATTTCTTTGGGAGAAGAAAAATGAAGCCTTTTTCTTCCTCACTAGTATCTCCGGCCACCCAACTTTTTCTAAGGAGCCTTATTGAAATTGGCAGAGCATTTCTTTTGAGAAGGGATTTCGTGTGTTGCAGGGTGACTCTCTTCTGTTAGATTCATTTTCCACGCGCGGCCCAGCAGCCTCTCATTATGTGGTGTGCAGGGTAAATGAGAGCTACGCCTGTGCGTGTGGGTGTGTAGAATTGAGCTAAGGGGCTTTGGGAGGACACGAAGCGTTGTCGGTGGCTTGTGCCATTAGTGGGAAATGGGACTGATTTTATTCAGTATTTTCCTCCTTTGCAGTAAAATGACTGCACTTACCATTAAATTGGCCTTGATAGGCTTCGCGCCGGCCCCCCCGCGGGGCCCTCCTGGGAGGACGCAGGAGAGGTCCCTCCTGGTGTGTGAGCCGGCCCTCATGTGGCCACGCAGGTTGCAGTGTTAGGAGCCAAGCAGGACTGGGCCCTGAGGGGGGGAGACCTGAACCTTGGGTCTGCGTGCGTGGGGAGGAGCAGGTGCTGACTCTGGCCTCTTGGCTGGTGTGGCCTCCGTGGTGTCTGTGAGCAGTGTCAGAAGCAGTGTGGTGCACATGGCACTCACAGTGTATACTCTGTCAGCAAGAAGGAATGTGCATCTTGGTGATGAGTAGGAAATTGTGAATGGCTTTGGAACAGAAGTCTTTCGCGTGTCCTCTCGAGTCCCGTGGATTCTTTGTGGCGGTGCTGCTCTCTGCTCTGTTTCTGTGGCCGCCCCGAGAATGGCGCATCTGAAGGCCATCAGCCGTTTGCTGTCTCTGACCCAGCAGGAGGTGGCGGGGGGCCTGGTTGGTGGGTGGGCAGCTCTCCGCTGGTCTCCTGGTTCCGGACGCTCCGTCCCTGGGTCTTACCCCGATCCGGACGGCCGCCGGGAGCGATTTGACTCTGACAGACTCTGAGCAAGCCCGCAGCGCTCTGCCTCGCTGTCGTTGGTGCGTGTGCTTTCTTCCCTCTGCCTTCAGTGGCAGGCAGCGCTCCTCGGGCTGAGGCGAGGGTGCCTGTCCAGAGCTGGAGATCGTCCAGTTTTGGGGTGAATTGGGAGTTGTGAGTGTGCTCTAGCATTTGTTATAAAGTAGATAGGCAAAAAGAGCATTTTGAAACTCGGTTTAAAAAAAATTCTCTTATCCCTGAGATAAGCAGCTTAGCAGTATATAGTGTCAATATTTTGGCTGCAGACCATTATCTTGCTATCGATCCAGAAGAAATACCCTGGTATAATTTCAGTAAGCTCAGTAGCTTTGTTTACTTTTTGCTAGCATTGTTTCTGTATGCTTTTTATTCTTCTTTCAAAATGTCATGACCTGCTTTCTTTTCCTTTGTCTCTGACCAGCTACTGTCCAGACTGAATGACAGGATTGCATTTGAACAGGAAGAAGAGCTGTTGGAGTTGTGTATTTCGTGTGTCAGACCCCTTTGCTTTTTGTCCTGAAGTTGGTGTAACTTCCCCGCTTGCTTACCTTTTATCTGTTCTTTAATAACTTTCTCCAAAGATGTGTGTTTGAATGCTCTTTTTAGCATCTTGGAAGGTACATTCAGTTCCTTGCAATATGTTTGGGGTGGGTACTTGTTTATTGTCTGCTGACTGTATTTCCTGCGCTGCATTTTTCAAAAGAGAAATGCCACAGAATCATTTTTGCTGATGGCTGGTGAAGGAGACACTCATCAATAGCTGAAAGAACAGAAACTGGAACGAAAAGCGTAGCTAAAGTGGTTTTGTGGGAATGTGATTACAGAGTCGGTTTTAATAATGAGAGGCTGTTTGGCACTGTTGTCTCTGTGAAATGGGCTTGAGAGGCGGCTGTGAGTTCTTAGGTGCATTGCGCGCATCCACTGCGTGCGGATGGCTGCCGTGGGCTGGCGGGGTGGGGGCCCGGGGCTGTCTCCTCCCCACCGCCACCAGGAACATATGTGCCTGTTCTTAGTGACTACAGCTGCCACGAGCAGTCCTTAACAATGCCTCCGAGGAGGTTAAATCTTCTCATTTGTTTTTAAAAGAGAGAGAAGGAGCCCTCTCGCCTTTACATTGAGTTGGAATCCCAAGCGGGAGGGAGGTAGGAAGTTAGAGGGATTTAGGCAAGCGGGATTTTCTCCCAGGCCTCTCAGCATGTGGACACACAGATCAATTTCTTATCCTGCATTCAGCTGGACACTGGGCTAGAGACTGTGTTGATCAAGACATCCCCTCCTGTTTCATATCATGTAACGCATTCATTTCAGCCACTGAGCCTAAATTACTGTCTGCTCGCTCTCTGCCTTCCTTTTTTTACCCCCTGAAATGGTAAGAACTCGTACAAGGATGAAGTTAGTTTATCCGTGCTAATGCTTTGATTTTTCTTCTCTCTTTCTCTTTGCCCCAGTAGGTAACCAGTTAGGGGCCTTGGTACATCAAAGGTAAGCAGTGGGTTATGTTTTATTATTTATTGATCATTTCTAATTGTTTATTGATCCACCATCTGTACTAGAGTGTTAGGAAGTCAGAGTCTGGGAGTGTGAGAAGCCATGGGCTCCATTTCTTTAAGACTCAAGGTTTCCTCCAGCCTTTTCTAAGACAGTGTGACCAAGGAATGAAGTGATGGAAGACACTGGAAATCAGTCCCTGCGTGGTACAGAGAGCGTAGAGGACTTTCAGAACACTGCAGTTACTCTTTCTGCCAGTGACAGCATCCATTTAATTTAAAAGGAGGGAATGTGCCTCCAGCCTGGGCTGCGTAGTTAGTTCCAGGTCAGTCTCACCCATGTCTCATGAACCCTGCCCTCAAGAACGTGAGGCCTTGGACTCACTGAGAACACTCCTGGTGCTGCAGATGCCAGGGTGCCAGCCTGCTTGGGACTGGGGCTGGGCAGAGAACCTCAGCCAGCTGCCCAGCTGGTCCTCTGGCTCTTTCTCCCCTCACAGCCTTCATGGACTGTCGAGGATTTGGAGAGTTACAAAGACAGGGCCTGAGCTTTTTTGTAAAAAGCCAGTCTATAAGATGAGCTACCTGTCACACTGTCATCCTTAAAGGAGGGGAAAGTGCACAGGACGCTGTGCCAGTTTCTTTCCCCTGAGGGCTCCCTCAGCCTTCGCTGCCAGGCACAAAGCTCTGTCCCTTGCATTGCCTGTGAATTTTGAAGGCTTTGTAATAATCACCAGGTGTCACTTAACCAAAGGATTTGTCCCAGGCTCTCTTGTTTGCTTTGTTTTTCTATTTTATTTATTTATTTATTTACTTGGGACCTTGTGCTTGCAAGGCAGGTGGTGGAACCACTGAGCTAAATCCCCAGCCCAAAACAGCATCTTTGGGGGCGGGGTGGTAGTGGGAGTTGAACCCAAGGCCATTACACTGACCTTCATCCTCAGCCTGTTTTTATTTTTTATTTTTTGGTACCAGGGATTGAACTCTGGACTTTTGAGTTTGCAAGGCAGGCGGCAGAACTGCTGAGCTAAATCCCAGCCCTGCTTTGTTTTTTAATTAATTAAAATAAATGAAGCCGTTGGTATCAGACCCTGAATTTCCTGTTACCCGTAATTGGGATGTCATATCCCGAAGTGATCATACCTGGTGCAGTGGGTGGACCCCAGCCTTGCCTTAGAGAAGGGCCTCTTCTTCCAGGGAGGAAGCCCAGAGCAGCTCCCCTCGGGGGTCTTCCCGGAGAACCTGTGAGGCTCTCAGAGGCTGGGAACTGCCGGGCTCTGGCGCTGTGTGACGCGGGGCCTCGGAGGCCTCTGGTCGTCCCCAAGTGACATCTCCTGAGAGGGGACAGCTTGTGTGACACATAGTGGGAGCCGCAGCCGCGGCTCCGTGTCAGGGCTGCTGTCATCCAGGGAGCAGGCAGGGCACACAGGCTGCCAGCCATTGGCGTCCCCTTCAAGATAGTAGCCCAGCGGGGCTGATTAGGAGGCAGGGTGCTGGCTGACTTGGGGGTGAAGGCGTGCACTGCGAGAGAGACAGATGCTCCTGTACCCGGGCTAGGGATGAGCACTGCACCGGGAGGAGACTGCTCCGTCTCGAAGACATGGTGGCGAGTGCGGTGTATGCTGCATTTCTTCTGAGTGCTGCCCATTCCTGAAAAAACGTGCACTTGATTCAGTCCTTCTTGTGATGGGTAGACACCCAGCTGTGCGAGAGATGTTTAAAAATGCCCCTTTCTCTCTTTTGAACCACTTGCATTTAGTCTCCTCCCAAGGTAAATGTTTGGATTTAATTGCCTTCTGGGATGTTGGGCAAATTTGTCCACAGTGCGCTCTATGGCACATTTGAAGGTTTGCTTGAAAGAGCCAGTGTAGTAGTTTAAAAAGAGAAAAGGCACACAATGGATGGGAGAGCATCCCGTGGAAGTTCCCCACACGGCGAGGGAGGTGGTTACCTCGTCCTGGTCAGCACTGAGTAGGCCCTGTACGTTGCAGAGTGGCCAGGAGGGGAAGAATGTTGGGTGTCCTGCATCCGGAGAGCACTCTAATAGAAGGAAGGCTGAACACCTCCTTGGCCTCCAGGGAATCTCTGAGGTCCTGGGACTGATGGCCCATGTGCTAGGGAGAACGTAGCTAGTGAGGGGTGAATTGGGCAGTAGAGAGCAGCTTTGCAGGGAAAAGTCAGGTCCTAGAGGAGTCGATGGTTTTACACAACCCACAGATTTCTTCCTCTGAAAGGAGAAGATGGAGGCTCCAGCTTTTCAGGGAGCAGTTGACCAAAGGATTCATTAACTGACGCTCTGCAGAAGCTCAGGATTTGTTGGTCAGCTTGGCATGACTAACCTCAAGCATTGCCAATACGGGAAATTTGGGGATCTAAAACAGCTGCAGTGGGCCGGGCGTGGTGGTGCACTCCTGTCATCCCAGCACTGGGGAGGCTGAGGCACGAGGATCGCTGTGAGTTCGAGACCAGCCTGGGCTACATAGTGAGTTCCAGGTCAGTCTCAACTACATAGTGAGACCTGTCTCAAAAACAAAAAACAAAACAAAAAAAAACTTAAATAAAGTAGCTGCAGAATTTTGTATTCTACAATTTTTCCAAAATGTTTTTGTTTTTTAGGGCAGTCATAACAGAAGAATTCAAAGTGCCTGATAAAATGGTTGGGTTTAGTAAGTATCAGCATTATCCTTTTCCCTCATTTCAGTCTGTCCCACTTGTTCTGACCTCTCCTGTGAACCGTAGTGGATAATTGTCGCATGTGCTGTGGCGGGTCTGTCGGGCCACAGGGGGGACCGGAGTGTTGGGCAGGGGTCCCGCCCCTCCCTGGAGTCCCCTGTCTGCTGGAGTCCCCTGTCTGTGCCGTTTCACCCGTGGTGTCTGCTGTGATGGTGCCCGTAGCATCACAAGCTTGCAGAGACCAACTTGGTCGGCCGTGAGCTGTGAGCCAAGGGTGATGCTTGTTGGACTCATGAAGCTGTAGTTAAATGTGAGCAGAAGCTGTATTCTGACCCTGTTCAATTTGTTTCAGTTATTGGCAGGGGAGGTGAGCAGATTTCACGAATTCAAGCAGAATCTGGTTGCAAAATTCAGATTGCTTCAGGTAAGACTTCGGTATTTCACAAATGTTTTGTTTTTGATTTTTGTTTTTTGGTAATGGGGATCGAACTTAGGGACCTTGCGCATGCGAGGCAGGCAGTAGGAACCACTGAGCTAAATCCCCGGCCCAGTTTTTTGCAAATGTTTCCAGCTTCAGTACTTTCGCTTGTCACTTAGAAGTCTGGGGCTGCAGGTAAGTATGTGTCACTGCTGTTTCCTTGCACTTCCGGAGTTGGGCTCCTGCAGGAGCATTAGAGCAAAAGCCAGCCTGAGGCAGCCTTGCGGAGAGTGCCATGACCTAGGCGCTGCCTAGGACCTGTGTTTTCTGCACCAGAATGTTATGCCAGGCGTAGCGGGGCCTCGAGGGTCCTGTGGTTTGGGGTCATTCCTGGGAACTGCACACTGGCTGCCCTGGACGAGGCCATCCCATCCCTTTGTGGAGAGAGGGCAGCTCGGGGTTCCGGCCAAATCAGCCTGTGTGTCAGACCTTTACAGCAGGGCCAGCTTGGGCTGTGTGATACGGAGAGAGACAGATTGAAGAGTAGTTTTTATTTCACTTGCAGTTTTATCATCTCGTTTGAATTTGACCTTTTTCCAATGGGGATACTTGATTATAGAGGTGTTTGTCATTTAAAAAAAAAATACTCCTTAGAGTGTCTGAAAGGCAGAAACTGCTCTTAGCTATTTCTCTTTTTGAGGAAAGATTTTAAGGAGCAGCTTTTCAGAAATGAAAGCATCATGTGTGGTGTTGGAAAGTAAGGTTTGTGCCTCCGTCGGATGGCCAGGACCGTATGCAGAAGTGTCGCTGGTCTCTTGGAACGGGCATTCGATAACTGGTGATGGTCCAAAGTGCTTACCTAAAGCTCCCGCTGGTCTGCCTCGGAGCCGTTTCCAAGCACGCGGCCCTTAAACCGCTCTACCGCGGAGCAGCTGAGGACTAGCACCCTTGCGTGACTCATCCGGTTGTTAGCTCGTGGGTGGTAATGAAGCCAAGGCTGGGACTCAGGACCGGTTCACACCCTCTGCTGCATCCTCCTAACTTCCCCTGCGGGACTTGTTTCTCCTCTGACCCCAAGTAAGGCAGCCCGTCTTTTCGGGAGACTGGGCTTCTGTGGGGCTGGTGGAGGAAGCGGCCCGGAGAGCCATTCTGCACACAGGCAGAGGCACCCGTTCCCTGGTGCGCACCAACACACCTCATCTTCTTAATTCTTCTTATAGAGAGTTCTGGGATTCCAGAGAGGCCCTGTGTACTTACCGGAACCCCAGAAAGTATTGAGTAAGTTTGTTTTATTTACTTTTTCCTTTCACTCTTCTTCCTCCTTCCCCGAGTGGGAGAATGGAAGGGCAGAATTGTCACTGAACGCTGTCGGTCTGTGCTGCAGCCTGGCCACCCAGCCGACGTCCGACAGGAAAAGTGGGAGGTCACTGCGAGGGGAGCTTCTCGGTACCTTCCCCGCACCCTGCAGAGCGCCGCTGTCACAGCTGTCCTAACCTCTCCTTCCCGAGGCAGGGTGGTCTCGGGCACAGACGTCACCTGCCTGAGGGCGCTGCTCAACTTCCTCCTCACCTGGCCAGGTCTGGACCAGTGGGCCTGTGCCTGGGAGCTGCAGAGCCGTTGGGGCTCACCCCTTTACCCTTGGGATATTAACCCAGGAACCCACTTTTCGTGGCCATGGTTGCACTCAGAGGGCCGTGTGGACCAGCCGGAGGGTCTCGATCGGCCTGGCCCCGGCCCCGGCCATGACCGCGTCGCTCCTCTGTCTGGCGCTGCATGCTCCGCCTGGTGCCAGCTGCAGGCCTAAACCCAAGACCCTCCTGGGGCAGGGGCCGCGCTGACTCCAGCCAGCTCACTTTTCTTTTTCAATCTACTGAACAGCCCTGCATATGGGCACAGGGCGCTAAGATTATGTCTGGCTCAATAGGTAGGGTGGTTTTATTGTTTCCATTTCTCAGGGAGCGTAGATGAGTTTAAATTCTCTTGTTCTGCTGCAGCATTGCAAGTGGTGAACCAGAATAAATACTGCTGGCAGGTGTGCATTAGAGGGCAAACTGGATGGTTTTGCTGGAGTCAAGGCATTTTTTTCTTCCAGCGCAGGTTAATCTAGTGCACCAGCAAAGTATTAAAAAGCCGCTGTAACTGAGAAGATCCATGGAGTGATTTCTGTGCACAAAGACTACAAAGGCAACATCTATTTCCTGTCTCTCCCTCCTCTTCCAACCCTCCTAACATTCCTGCTTCATGCCGACCCACGGAGTTGAGGCGATGGGATTATAACTTAGGGGAAGGCACTCTTTTCTCCAGGGAGCAATACAGCGGCCTGTTTAGTGACTGAGACTTTCTCTATAAAAAAATCAAAATATAGATGGTGTGTGTGGTGACTTTAAAGGATAAATTCTGCAGATAACAGCCAGGAAAGATTCTGGTGCAGAAAAGGGAGGAAACTGGCCCAACAGACGACATTATCACCGTGTGGCGGTTTCCCTCCTGATGCTGGGTCAGTCACCAGCCGCCTGGCCGGAAGGTCTGGCCCCTGCTGGACGCACAGAACAGCTGCCTGCAGCCACACTGGTGACTCGTGGCCCCAGTTTGAAAGTCAGAGAGCAGTTTTGTTGGTTGTGGAGAGGAAGTTTTGGAACTGGGAGTTCAAACAGTAACTACTAACCCTTTCTTTCTTTCCATCTCTCTCATTGCTCTCTCCTGCCCTTTCTTAGCAAGCATATATTGAGTGCTGCTCTTCAAGAGAGTTAACTGGGTTGGGAAATAGATGTGCAAAGGGATAAGAGAATGTCCCTGTCACCAGAGCAGCTGGCTTTCAGTAGGAGGCAGCCACGTCTGTGGAGACACAGCAGGCACGGGGCAGTGCCCTCCTCAGCAAGGCTCCGCGCTGGAACAGCAGTGTCGTGCGTGTGTGGCTTTGAATTCCAGCCTGGTAGCGTGGCGGATGGCAAGGCGACCTCCCGGGTTGTGGGCAGGAGCTGGAGCTGGATGGAGGGCGGCCCTGACGCCTCGTGCTTTCCCGTCCTGCAGACCCAGGGCGTTTAATGCTGATTCTCTTGTGGTTCTTCTCCCTCCCAAAGACAAGCCAAACGACTCCTGGGGCAGATCGTGGACCGCTGTCGGAACGGCCCCGGCTTTCACAATGACGTAGACGGCAACAGCACGATCCAGGAAATTCTTATCCCTGCCTCTAAAGTGGGCCTGGTCATTGGCAAAGGAGGAGAAACAATCAAGCAGCTGCAGGTACGGGAGCCCCGCGCCACCCAAGCAGAACAGCGGGCCCGAGCTTGCACACCCACCATCCTGCCAGGGCTCCCGGAGCTCTTCAGTGCCCCTGGTCCCCGCTGGGCTGGCCTCCCCGCAGTGACAGCCTCTAGGAGGAAGGACAGTGCGCTCCTGGGCCGGGAGCCTGCCCTGCCACGCCCATCAGTTCTCAGGGCTCAGAGTCCTTGTCTAAAAGGAGGTGCCTGCCTCTCATCACAGCCGAAGCATCCATTGTTTTCTTTTTATGTCTGCTGCTGAGTAGGAGCTCCGATAAGTAGAGCTGTGAGCTCCAGAATCCTGCGCCTGAGACGCTGGGTGCCGAGCACGTTTCTGAATTTAACGTTCCCAGCAAGGCTTGGGCTGGGGCTGCGCAGTCAGATGCAGGCGTGCACAGCCACGCAGGAGTGGCCGCAGCCTCGGGAGGGAGGCTAGAAACAGGTGTGCAGTTGGGGACGGACCTTGAGCTTGGCACCCCCAGGCGTCATGGTTGCAGGTGAGGGGCGAGGCTCAGGCCTCGATCATGGACGGTGCCTCCTGTGGGATCCCAGAGAGCGCAAGGATCTGAGCCTGCACTGGCGAGCCCGGGCTCTCCGACAGCCCCGTCGGGAGCCTCCCACTGTGGGCCTGCGAGTTAAATGCACGCGCTTGGCTTACTGTGGAGTAAAGAGCTCACTGGCGTTAGGAGTTCTGGGCACTGGAAAAGGAGAAAAGAGAGTCGTTTGGGAAATCATGTATGAGTCCCCTCAGCTGTTCTCACACAGTGTGTTGTGCGTGTCTGGGAAGCCAGGTCCACGGGGCCAGGTCGGTTAGGGCCTGGGCTCAGTGTGGCCATGGCCTGGCATCCTGTGGTGTCTGCCGCCTTTTCCTGACAGTGAGGGCTGTGCTGGTCCCCACAGGAGCGCACAGGGGTGAAGATGGTCATGATCCAGGACGGCCCGCTGCCCACGGGTGCAGACAAGCCTCTCCGCATCACCGGCGACCCCTTCAAAGTACAGGTAGGGATGAGGCAGGGCGGTGGGTCCTGGCGCTGGCCTGGGGCTTTCGTCTTCCTCCCGTCACGGTGTGCGTGCTCCTGTCTGGGGGAAGCCACTCTCCTGCACGAGCTTGGTGCTGCCGAGAATACAGTGCTGCACCCGCTAGTGTGCACTGCGGCTGCTCAGAGTGGTCACCCCAGAGAAGGGCTCAGCTCCTCGAGCTGCTGGCCAAGTGTTGTGTGCTCAGTGGCGGCCCACGGGAGGGAGCACGTCCAGAAGTGTCCGTCGGCACCAGAGGCTGCAGTGGCTGGCATGGTCAGTTGCGGCTTTAGGGCTGCTGCCTCGTGGGCTCGGGTGCAGGCTTTCTGCCTCACACAGCCCACTCTGGCCCTGTCAGCCACAGTTGGAGATGGGCACAGGTGCCAGAGCCACATGAGCACATGCGTGGCCTCACACGGGCATCCTGTGCCTGAGCTCGGAAACACAGCCGCGTTGCCTGTGCAGTCTGTCCTCAGTGAAACGTTAATGCTCCTTCTGCTGCCTGCAGCCCACCTCACCGTTGCTATGCTAGAGTAGCTCCGTGGCGACAGCAGGGGAGAGCCGAGCCACCATTCACCACCGTGTCCCCTCAGGAGCTCTGGCTTTCTTAACCTTCTTACCCTTCTCGATCAGCTGCGCTGGTCGTGATCCACACATCAGCATAGGACAGAGGGCTGGTGGTGAGCGTGGAGCTTTTCCTTGTGCTTTAGTGACATAGCTCCTCTCCTGCCTGGGGACTAGCGAGACCCTGTCTCAAAACCTAGCAGAAGGGCTGGAGGTGCAGTGACATAAAAAGCCTGGCTTCAGTCCTCGGACAGGCACGTTAAAGATCAGATTGCGCCAGGCCATTCGGCACTTAGCCGGTGCGGCTCGGCCCCGCTGCTGAGGCACTCAGGCCTCCGAGGCCTCTCCAGCTCAGCCCGGGGGTGTCTTGCAGGGACACAGCCCCCGCAGAGTGTCTCATTGACACTTAGAACTGTGAAGGAAATAACAATAACCTAGGGTGGTCAGCATTTTTTAATTTTAAAACTGTATATTCCACTTTTTATTTGGCAGAAGTAGTTCACTATATTCAGGTTAAATTGTTTTCTCTTCCCGGCTTTTAAACTTTAAAATAGTCATAAAAGTAGAAAAGCCAGTGCAGTGAACAATTGCATACCCTCAGCCTACTCGGCAGTTTGCTGACCGTGTCTTTTCTCTACCTTTTATCAGAAGCAGATGCCGTGACATTTCACCCCGAGCCCTAAGAATAGCCAGGCCCAATCCTCGGGGTCTCCAAAACATAAAAATAAAAACCAGGCCTAAGAAATGTGGCCTGTGCAGCTCATCCAGTCCATGCTCCCATTTTCCAAATGTCCTCAGGCTCTGATCGCTATTGGGGGTCAGCTGGTTTCCGTTTTTTGTAGAACCACAGCTCCGTGTACACCCGCTGTGGGCGGGCGGGCACAGGACGGGGTGGCCTCAAGTGCAGTCAGATGCGTGGGGTGGTCTTACAGCACCTTGGGCCTGCTGTCCCTCCCTGGCCAGTTGTGTCTTGCTGCAGGGCCTGTGAGCCCCTCCTTAGGTCTTCTAACCTAAGTTAGGCCACCTAACTGCACTCAGCCAACCCTCTCACCAGAAGGGAGTGGCACCAAGAAGCACCTTGGGCACGGGAACCTGTGCTGACCACCTGCGGAGGTGCTGGCCCTCACTGCTGTGTAGTACTGTGGTGGCTGAGTTCTCCCTCTGGGTGCTTAGGCCCGCATTGGAAGAGTCGGCTCTGAAAGCTTCACTTGGTGCAGTCTTTCCCCCACAACGCCTTGCATTTGTATCTACACAGCAAGCGAGAGAAATGGTACTAGAGATCATCCGAGAAAAGGACCAGGCTGACTTCCGAGGTGTGCGTGGAGACTTCAGCTCCCGGCTGGGAGGAGGCAGTATAGAGGTACGCGCGAGTCTCGGTGACGGATGACAGGTGCTCTGCTCTGAGTGCTCTGAGTGGCTCAGTTAGCTGTCCTCGCATCTTGGAAACGTGGAGTCTGCCCCTTCCAGAGTGTGAGGACATCGGAGGGCGCGAGGGTCACTTCCCCTGCCTCTGGGGTTTGGCTTTAAAGGTTAGCTCGCTGTTGGAGTGAGACCAGAGTTCGTGTTTCTCCGTGATCCCTGTGACAGTGCGAGCCCTGGGAGCCCATTCATCGATGGAGTGGAGTGGTCGGTGTTTTTCATCTAACACAGGCTACACCTCGGGTGGACTTTGGGGACAGGGCCAGGAGCAGTGAGACAAATCCAGCCGCAGAGACAAATCCGGACCAGGCAGGCGGAGAGGATAGGGCTGGGGAGGGAGGGTTTCGTCAGGTGGCCAGAGCTGCTGGTGAAGACGACGCATGGGTGTAGAAAGTGACGGCGTCATGTGCGTTTTACCTTTCCAGAAGGAACGCTAGAGTGTAAAGGGCCGCAGGCATATCAGTGTGTCGGTTTGTTTCTACTCCACGTTTACAACTTTCCGTCAGGCCTTAGACTTATCTGATGAATATTTCCTGGTCAAGAATGTAATTAGTATTGTTCCTAAGAGAAAAAAAAATGCTTTATTATGTGATTTCTAGAATTACACTGTCATGAAAACCCAATTATCTGTCTTTTTTTTTTTCCCCCTTTGGTACTGGGCATCATACTTGGGCCCTTGCACTTGCAAGGCAACAGCAAAACCACTGAGCCAAATCCCTGCCTGGCCCATTATCTGTCTTTTTAAAACCAGATTTAAGAAAGCTCTGATGAGGTTCTGTTCTCTTTTAGGTGTCTGTGCCTAGGTTTGCTGTGGGGATCGTGATAGGAAGGAACGGGGAGATGATCAAGAAGATCCAGAATGATGCGGGCGTGAGGGTCCAGTTTAAACCAGGTTGGTTTTGATGGTTCTCCTTGGTGGCGGAAGGGGGGCTCTGTTAGGAGCCACGCACCCAGGACCTCTCCTCATCTGCCTCCCTCCCCTTTTTGCCCTGGAGCTTATGCTCTAGGCCAGGACACTGGCATGGCGCCTTCCGCACACAGTGCAGTGGGGCCTCGGTTCGCAAGCTTAACTCTTCCCGTGGTTCTGCTTGAGGAATTCATCCCCCTAACCTTAACCTTATCCACAACCACGTTCTCGTGACCCGAATCCGAATTGCACACCAGATCAGTCCATGATTCTGGTTGCCACTCAATTCCATGCATAGGATTAGGGTTAGGGTGACGTTTAGGGGGAATGAATTCTGCGACCACAACCACAGAGAGAATTAAGTTTGCAGACTGAGGCCCCACTGCACTGTAGCCTGGCAGTTTTTCTTTCTTTCCTCCCCTGAACAGCATAGTATTTCCAGTCCGTAGTTTAGCTAAGTGAAGATTTTTTTAAAAACATTATTCTGTTTTTATATAGAGATAACTTATAATCGTGAAAAAGGATATCTTAGAGGTTTTTAGTGGGGAGACTGTTTGTTGTGGTACTAGGGATTGAGCCCAGGGCTTTCACACTGAGCTACATCTCCCGTCCCCCTCCTTTTTTCTTTTTTTTCTTTTCCTTTTTTTAGACAGGGTCTTGCCAAGTCACCCAGATTGGGCTCAAGCTTATGATCTGCCTGCCTCAGCCTCTCAGAGTCCTGGGATTACAGGCAAACACCAAAATGCCCAGCTCTTTAAATTTTATAAATTTACTTCTGTGGGGAAAATTTTCTACATTGTGCGTGTTTTTTCATTTCTCTGAAGAGAGAAGCATTATTATGTGTTATTTTTAGATACTGTTGCCTTAACTTCATTCTGTTTTTCTTGGCCTTTTTATTTCTTTGAGTGTTGCTTTGTTTTTCTATTGATATCTTTTAAAAATAGCTGTACTTGCATAAGAACTGAGTATTGACCTGAAATAGACAAAAGGTCGTAATAGTCCACGTCTCCCCACACCCCTCGCAAACCATTCCGTAACATGGGCCCAGCCGGCTCGCTGCCTTGAGGCACTGGTGAAGTCAGCGTGGCCTTGGTGTCCTGCTTATGGGCTTCTTCCTCCTGTCTCTCACCTGCTCTTTAGATGATGGGATTAGTCCAGAAAGAGCAGCGCAGGTCATGGGCCCTCCGGACCGGTGTCAGCACGCAGCACACATCATCAACGAGCTGATCCTCACCGCCCAGGTGGGTCCCGCACTCTGCTTGTCACCTGCAGAACAGAAATGTGCCCGGGGAGTAGTCACACTCGCCTCCATCCCCACTGGAGGCCAGGGACCTGTCTGTGCCCACCTCTTTCCTGTTTCCGGTGCTCAGACTGAATTGACAGGTCTTCTGGGGTCAGAAAGGACCCCAGGACCCTCCCGACTCCTGGTGTATCCTCAGCCCCTGTGCCTGGCCTGTCTTTGAGACACACAGCTTGTACGATCCCGTCCCGCTGTGGCCGGTGTTGGGAGTGCTGGTCCCTGATGGCGTGGCATGTGCTGGCTGAGGAGGAAGCTCCTGTGCGGGGCAACTGGAGCCAGAGCCCACCTTGCTGGGTAGAATTGTAGCCCCACTCTGCCCGTAGCCCCAGGAGCTGGGATGAGTGTGGTTTTCACGAGGAGGTGCTGCTGGGTGGCCCCTGCAAGCCTCAGGTCCCCCTGAACCATGGAGGAGTGGGCCACCTAGATCTGCAACACAGTGCCCGGGGAGAGACCACTGTGACCGGACAGCCAGGCAGCCGTGCTTGGGTCGGACCGGTGTGGGGAATGGCCACTGACTGCTCTCCCAAGCGGGGTCTGGCTGTGCGTGCGCATGTGGGGGAGTTTGTGTGTTTTAGCGTAAATCTGTCAGATTACCTGGTTTGTCACTCGTGTCATGTAAAAGTGCTCCAATTATCTCTGTTCTCTGCTGGCTCCGACTTGGGCAACATTTGGTTTGCTTGTCATCGGCAAGAGCGGGCTCTGCCCAACACTTCTCCACTGTGTCGGGCATCTTCGGGGCTTCCTTTTTGCATGAAGGAACTTGTGGCTTGGCCAGGTTCGCCCTCCAAACTTGGAGGGTGTTAGGTCCTGCGGGCCCAGAGCGATGCAGTGGCCACGTCCGGAGCCCGGCTTGCTGCGTGGAGGGGTGGGCTCCTCCCAGGAGCGCCCGGGCTGAGCCTCTGCCCTCCCTTCCGTGGCCCTAGGCAGTCACTTGAGCAAACTGCTCCTTCCTGGAGTAGACATCCTGTTTGGTCCGGGTAAAAACAAGTGCAGGTGTTCGGACTGGGGTGGCAGTGGCTGACTGGCACACGGGCGTGGCGCATCCTTTCCAAGTGCCTGAGCTCCTTGGCCTCCCTTGTCCTGCTTCAGCTATGAGGAGAAACCCAAGTGTTGCCCCTGTGGGTCAGGTGCTGTGGTTGAGGCTCAGGCTGCTGGGCTCAGGTGCAGAGCTGACAGCTGCCCGCCCGTTAGAGCCGGGCCCTTGTGCTGTCTCACGGGCACGTGTGTCCACTATGCCCGCCGTCCTCCTTGAGCACACCTGGGGCGTGCATTGTCCTAGGCTGAGAGGTGCCAGGTTCTGATGTGGCGTTATTACATCCCGTCAGTGAGCCTCCCCCCGCAGAAGGTAAAAAGTGCCAGTGGCAGCATCAGCGCACGTCACTAGAACCCGTGTCTTCCTCAGGAAAGAGATGGCTTTGGGGGCCTGGCAGTAGCCAGAGGAAGAGGCCGCGGCCGAGGTGACTGGAATGTGGGGGCCCCTGGTGGTATCCAGGAGATCACGTACACCGTACCGGCAGACAAGTGTGGCCTCGTCATAGGCAAAGGTGAGTGAGCGGCCCCTGCTGGGGCAGTTCTGTCTCCCTCCTGCTTCCCCAGAGGGGACACCAGTCACTCAGGCCAGTGGCTGGGACGGCCCGTGTGTGGCATCTGCTGCCTTCTGCAGGAGCCCTGCCTGGTGCAGGCCTTGTCTGGCCCTTGACTGTTCCCATCACCCAGCACAGGGCAGGTGTTTGAGTGTGAACGGGACCTGTGGTCCTGCCGGCAGTGAGCCACAGGGACCAGTCGTGCTCTCGTCTGGGGGCAGGTGCTCTCTGGCACGGGTGTCACTTGTTGGGTTTGGGTACTCCCTCCCCTCTTTATTGATGAGAATCATGCGGGCATGCTTTTTCCTCTGGACCTACGCCTCCAGGGGAACAGACCCCACGGAGGACGTGCGGATGAACTTGGTGGCCGCGTCCTCGCTATCTTGGAACCTGGGCGGCGGCTGCGTGGGAGAGGGGCAGAGCTCTGGGAGGGGCTGCGCCTGCAAGGTGCCCCCACTCCGGCCTCCTGGGGGTGTTAGGCCTGGGAGGAGTGGGGCCTGGCTGTGTGGCAGGGCTGGTGTCTGGGGTCGGGTTTTGTACTCGCCTTCATTGTTCATTTGGCGGCATATGGAGGAAATAAATACTGCCTTCTCCCCAGAGTTTCTCAGGTTTCTTCGATCACCAAGTACGTCTTAGCTGTTTTGGGGTGCTCGTATTGCAGGGAATGTGACAGCAGGACTCGGGAGTGGGCGGGGCGCTCCACTCGAGGACAGTGTGAGTTTTGTGCTCTCTTCACATCAAGCCACTCTGCCGAGGCAGCAGTGTGGGCGGTGACTCTGGGCTCTGCTGATGCAGTGTCCTGACTGTCATTGGCTGCTGGTGTGCTGCAGTGTGTCTGTCACACACGCCGCCAGGCCTCTGATGCTGCCAGGGATCAAAGTCTGTGGCCACCTGTGGGAGGATGACCAGAGCCTGGCACCGTGGCCTGCTGAGAGCCGTTGTGTCTGAGGTTTTCGGTCCACTGTGTCCAGCAGGGGCCCACTGGCCTGACTGCAGCATCCCCTCCTTGTGAGCCCTGGGGGCCACAGAACAGCCCCACGCATGCGGATGTGCATCCGCCTCCAGCAGACCCGGACAGTGGGGACAGAGCGGAGCGCTACTTGCCAGCGAGTCCCAGTGCTCACTCGGGTTGCGGCCCCAGGGAGTCTGGTGGGAGCTGTGCCAGCCATGCAGAGGGCCTTTCTCATTGCTTGCCGTGGCATCTCCTTTCTGGGGGATCGTGTGGGTGAGGGAGAGCAGCGGGCCGTGCATCCTGGGCTCCGGCCCTTGGACAGACGTGCGCCTCCCCGGGCCCCTGCTGGATTTCCATGATAAACACGGCAACACTGACAGATAGCGTGGCCAGCCCTGCTCTTGTCAGCCGGTCCTTTTAGCGGCATTGATTAATTGCTTTACGATTTCACGTCCAGCCGGGGACCGCTGGTGGGTCTCTTCTGCCCCCCATCCGTGGAAGAATGGGGCAGGCTGCTGAATGAGTCGATAGATGGCCACCCTGTGCCAAGCTGGTGACCCCATTTTGAAGGAAGATGAACTTAAATTAACTCCTCCTCGCCCCGTGCAGCTTGGTGGCGCCTCCTGGGGTATTTGCTTGCGTGCTCCGGAACCAGTGGGCTGCACCGTGGACAGGGCTGTCTGGGCTCCTGATGGCCAGGCCGCCACTGCCTCTGCGCTCGCCTGTGACCAGGTGGTGCTAGGCAGACTTGGTGAGGCCCCAGGTCCTGGGGGCCCTGCAAAATGATCTCCATCTCTTCTTTGTTCGTTGTTGTGCCTGGGCCCAAGGCTCTTGGCCCCGGGCACAGAGCGCTCACTCTTCCCTGACCTCTGAGGAGAGGGTCTAGGGGCTCATGCCTGCCTGGCGGGAGAACTGGCTGGCTTGGCATTGGAAGTCCCCCAGCCAGAGGACAAGAGATTCTAGAGGTCCCTTAGGGACAGCATGAGCACCAGACTTCAGTGGGGTGTTTTTATATCTTTGTCTTTTTCTTTTAAATTTAAAATGGCCCAAACTAACAACACACACGAGCCGACTCGACTGCCCACGCTGAAGGACCACGTTTTGCCTCTTGACCACTGTGGAGTCCTGTCATCCTTGGGGGATAAAGCTCCTCTCAGCGCGGGAGGGAAGCTGGCCAGCTCTGAGGGCCCAGGTGCCTTACAGGGTGGCTTCAGTTAGGTTGTGACTAGGGTGGACGGGGGCGGCACCAACACTGGTCCTCCTCCTTTGCTGTCTGTTATTTGGGGCTCCTTGCTTCCCTACAGCAGGCTTTCAACATTTTATCTTTTTGCCAGTTTGCAAAACCCTGCTCTAACTTTTTCTTGGATTCTAACTCCCCCTCCACCCCAGCAGATCTAAGTTCTGTGAAATTTCAAGAGAAGAATCAGACCATTGTTACACTGCCTGAGCTTTTGTTACGCAAATTTCATTAAGAGACTGGGACTCTCACCGGTTTTTGAAAGAGTCCAACTACATTTTCTCTAGCGGAGTCACCCAGCCCAGCCCTGCCCTGCCTCCTGTCTGCCCCCGCCCCACCCGCAAGGAAGCAGCAGGACCTGCAGGGGCAGGAGGGCCGTCTCAGCCTCTGACTGCCCAGGGAGAGCTGCGCGGGGCAGCCCCACCCTGCCCTGGGCTCTGGGGCATTGGTGCCTTCCCTGGGCCACGTCTGGCTTAGTGGGAGCATCAGCAGCTGCTGCAGCCGAGCTCCGCCGAGAAACAGTGGGGAGGAAGGAGTAGATCGCTGGCCTCAGCCCAGCCCTGTTTGGTGCCACTGGGCCTCCGCTTTCCTCTAGGCAGCCGGGCTTCAGGAGAATGAGCCCAGTACGGCTCCTGGAGGGAGGAAGCACTTCCCCTGGGGTGCGGGGCCCAGGCACCTCCCTCACCCTCTGTCTCCTGCCTGCAGGGGGCGAGAACATCAAGAGCATCAACCAGCAGTCGGGCGCGCACGTGGAGCTGCAGCGGAACCCCCCTCCCAACACCGACCCCGGCCTGCGGATATTCACCATCCGGGGCGTCCCGCAGCAGATCGAGGTGGCCCGGCACCTCATAGACGAGAAAGTGGGCGTACGTACCGAGCCCTCCCCACCTGGCGGGATGCAGCAGGACTCTGCTTGGCGTGGCCAAGGCATCTGTCCTCCCTGGTGCCTCGCACTTCCTGAGCCTTCCTCCCTGACATCCTGGGAGCACCCCCGCTACTTGGCCGAGGGCAGGGAAGGCCAGCTTTGGCAGGACTCCCGGGACCGCAGCGGCTCCGTCCGCAGAGCGCGTCCCGCACAGGCTTAGATGAAAAGCGGGCAGCAGCCTCCCCAGCGCTGCCCTGAGCCCCGTGGGCGTCGCCTGCCGGCAGCCCGCAGCCGCAGCTTTCATTGACTCTGGCTTTAGTTTCAGGCACCTCAAAGCAGATAAAGAAAGGGAGTGTTGATGGAGGACAGATGGGCCACTGCTCACCTCAGTGGGGACGTAGAGTGGCAGAGAGAGCCCGGGGCCAGCCTAAGTTGACGGGAGAGCCGAGCAGGTTGGTCCTCCCCCAGGGTGACACGCCAGGGCAAGCATGGTGGCGCCAGGATTGGCTGTGTGGTGGTGCTGGTCACTCGAGGGCAGGAAGGCTAGTGTGAGTGCAGGGGCATCTCCTTCACCACTGTCTCCCGAGCGGGCTCGCCTGGGGCCTGGGCGGAGGGCGAGGCACCGCCACAGGGGTGAGAGCCATTCTGCCCACACAGGGAACCGGCCTCGGCGCCGCCGGA